TGCTGAAAGTTCTGTGGTATCCGTGAATTGACATTCTTTGAGTCCCCAATATCCTTCTGTACTCTGCAATACTTGGCGGACAAGTTGACTAACATGAGACCCACCGAAGCCGCGGTCTGCGGCGCGTTTATCGAATAGTCTTTTGGGAAACACCCAATAGGACGGAACAAGAGCCCACTGTTACCGTTTCAGTGCGCTCCTCCAGGTTTGACTTTAGGATATTCGCCGCTCCCCCGCTGCACGATCACTGCACGCAGACCTCCTGCCGTAAGAGACCTTTCGAGACGGAACATACAGAGCTCGATCAAGTTTCGAGCGGCAGTTGCTGCACTCGAGCGCAGTATTCATGTACACATTGCTAAATGAATTCATATGTTATCGACATCACCGTCTGGTGTTGATGTGGGCTATTGACAGTTATTGGTGGCCCACTTCTCCAGCGTATAGACGCCGGCTGAGATGGCTTGATAAATGTACGGTGATGTCAAGCGTTGATAAAAGTCACACATTGTGGGTACTACTCATGCTCTGTTCCATCAAAATAAGCCCTTGTGCTGTCACCATGCAGGAGATATATTTCGCCAGCAGGCATATTCAGGATATGCGCCTCCCAGGATTTGGCATGTGAAGGGGGCGATAAGGAGAAAGGTGAGCAACGGCGACATTTGACGGAGCTTCATTTTTAGAGCTCATCGCGATCTTAAGTCTGGAGTAGCTTTCGGGGCGTTTGGTGTGCAGTTGTCGGAGTACGTTCTAACCAGCCGATGGGGAGAAGAAAATCCGACAAAAGTTTGCCGCAAATCTTCAGCCTCAAGTACCCAAAGTTGGTTTCGGCTCACAGAAAAAGGCAACTGAAGTTCATAAAGGCTTGGCGACGAGAATGGATGCCGGGTCTTTCTCGCGAGACTTGGATGTCATAGGCAATTGAGCATGTCGATCCAAGCTCGTGAAGTGCTTATCCGCTGCTGCTGTAACGCTGTCCACGTACCTGACGGCGATAGAGATGGAGGCGGCCGAGTTAGCCTGGCGGGCGACCCGAATCGAGGCATTTTGGCGAGCACATCGCTCCATGGCATCATCCGTCGGTAAACCGGCGGACTGCAGACTTTTCAATCTCGTCCACCCAACCGCGGCCGTCAACCACATGGGAACTGCAAGGGCATGCCGTGCGATGGCACCTCATTCCAGTATTCTTCTGAGTGAGAGCTCACACAGGCCGCAATTCGCGCGCTGGATATTCCTCTCCCTGCGGCCGACATTGAATGCCCACTTTTCAGTAACCGCCGGCATCAAAACCACCGGCATGGTCGTCGAATAATATCAGCAGGAAGAGCACCATCCCAACCATGTGGCAGCAACTGCATCTCTTGCACGCCGACTGGGGCCGTCGATCGCCGTAGTTAGGGAGGTTCGGCCGTTCACCGTCTGAAATATCCAGCAGAGTGACGCAATATTGAACCAGTCCAAGAGATTTCGTTGATAGGCTTTCCACGCTATGCTCTTTCGATGTTTCAGGGTCCAGCAACAACCTCGACACTCTGGAGAAAACACCGCCCCATTGACATTGCCCTGAGTAATCTACGGAACCATCTACCAGTTAGCATGCTGCGTGAGTTCCAAAGTGTATAAATCCACGCCTTTCCCTTACACCGACAATCCGCCTCAAGCTGTCCGAAACCTCATCCTTCTCCACAATACCCACTCTTCTCTCCGTTATCCCAACATTGCCTACAAGCGACTCCGACACGGACGAACCCACAGAGGGTTTAAAAGAAGCCCGTTCCCCAGCTTTAGAACTCCATTCTTTTCTCCGCACACATTTTGTCAGGACTCACTTTACGGAAGACCTAACCCCCTCTATCTACCATGTCTGCTCCTTCCTTGGCCGTTCCCTCCTCTGGAGGCCGCTTCATGCGTCGCCTCAGCTCGACTGAGGCCACACGAGAGTCCATGTCGATGGGCCCAACCGTAGTCGTGCCACCGAAGCACCTCATGGCTCCTTCAAATGCTAGCGAAGTCGCCGCTGCCATGGAGGTTGCAAGGCATGAGATTGACTCTGCGGCCACTCCAGGAACTCCCATTACCCCATCTGAGACGCTGGTAACCGACAAATATGCCTACGCGTTTGATATCGACGGCGTCCTCATCCGCGGAGGGAAGCCTATACCAGAAGCAATCCAGGCGATGAAAATGCTCAACGGCGAGAATGAATACGGCATCAAAGTGTAAGTAGATGGTTCACGGTATTTCTCTGAAAACGACTGAATTTTCCCCCAGGCCATATATTTTTGTCACCAACGGTGGCGGAAAGACAGAGCAGGAGCGTTGCCTGCAACTCAGCCAGCAACTCGAGATTGAGGTTTCGCCTGGTCAGTTCATCTGCGGTCATACTCCGATGCGGGAGATGGCTGAGAGGTACAAGACTGTTCTCGTCGTCGGCGGCGAAGGCGAGAAGTGTCGTCAAGTCGCCGAGGGTTATGGGTTTAAAGATGTCGTCACTCCCGGTGATATTATCAAAGACAACCAGGATACGACACCGTTCCGTAAACTCACATCAGAGGAGTATGAGAATTCACGAGCCCGGAATTTCGCCGAAGTCGAGATCGAGGCGATTTTCGTTTTTGCCGACAGCCGTGACTGGGCGTCTGACCAACAGATCATTCTCGACCTGTTGATGTCAAAGAATGGTCGGTTGGGAACCCGATCCGAGACTTTCGAGGAAGGCCCTCCAGTCTTCTTTTCTCATAATGACGTTGTCTGGAGCACTTCGCATGACCTTACCCGCATCGGCATGGGCGCTCTTCGAGTTTCACTTGAGGCCATGTTCAAGGCGGTCACCGGCAAGGACTTGAAGACGACTGCCTTTGGCAAACCTCAGATTGGCACGTTCCAGTTTGCCACCCGTTTACTCCAACAGTGGCGGAAGGATACCCATTGCATCGATATGCCTCCCGATACCGTCTACTTCGTCGGCGACACTCCGGAATCAGATATCCGCGGCACGAACGAGTTCGACAGCCACGCCGACAACAGTTGGTACTCCATTCTTGTCCGCACTGGCGTTTTCCAGGAGGGTACCAAGCCACGCTTCCAGCCAAAGGCCACCGTTGACAACGTGCTTGAGGCGGTAAAGCACGGCATGGAGCGCGAGTACAAGAAAGCCTTGAAGGCCAGTTTGCAAGACTCTAACGCTCTTGATAGCGCTGTTGTGGAAGAGTAGCTTCCTTATGTGATACGTACACATCAAAAACGCATAAGAACATAGCGTTTCATTTGTAGCATAGCCATGGGCGTTTTTCGGATTCGGTCGAGTTCACGACTTTATTTTTCTCTCAATCAAGGGCCTTGCATAAAATGGCGGCATTCGCCTATTATTCGGACGGCTAATGGACGAGGGAACACTGCATAGGAATGATACCACAAGAGCTTAGATGCACCGTCAAGCATGACGAGTTTATTTCCTATAATACGGATAGAATCAACCGGGTATTGCATCTCATAGGTAGCTATCTCGGCACCTCGGGCATAAATGGATTGACAATTTTTCCTACTGTTGCCAAAGTTTTCCCATCGAACTCCGTGAACCCCCCCTAACTACTCTAACATTGCAGCTTCACCGTTATCCAAATAGTCTCATTAGTTTTATCACACCTCTATTTCCATTACTCATTTACTATCTTTAAAATGTTCAGAGCTTCCTCAAACTCATCATACCGTCATCTTTCCATCACGCCACCAAACTCAAAACAATCGGCCCTAAACTTGAACTTTCATCTCAAAACCTTAACCCTTCACTCAAGAATTTCAAAAAAAAACCCCCTCTTAAAACAGCTATATCCCGTCCGTCAAAATGTCCTTCGAACTTTATTCCCTCCAAAGCTCTAAAAGTAGCTCCAAAGTATCCCTGATTTCTATCTTTCCACTGCATCTGCGTGAACACGGTCACATTTTTTTTACGACGAGTTTGAGACGAACAATCCATATCCCTTATCAGCAGTATTGTATGGAGGTACGTACACTTTCATCAAATGCTGCCCGCTCCCGTCTAAATTGCCAAACTGCATAATTTCCACACGGACAGGGATATCACGACCCCACGACGCGTACATAATTTCAGGGCTTTTCAGCCCTACATAACCCCTGACCCCGTAATCCCAACGTAACCCAACGTCCCGAAACATTGTTATTGCGGGTGCCGGGATGTGTGGTGAACGGAAAAAGTGGGTACCGTAGATGTTAGTGGAGGTATCGGTGATGTGAGTATGATGACACGGGAAAATCTCAAACGGCGATGGTGATGTTGCACGCTTGAGATTGGAAATGAGATAGAGACAATTGCGAAGGATTGTGAGAGGCATTTTTCTGATTGATTTAGAGTGTGTTGTGAGGGTACCTATCGTAGCTCGAACGGCGCCTGATAAAGAGACAGTAGTGCTGGCCTACTGCCCCATTCCCGCTCCGGCAGGACATACAATTGACATCAACAAGCGCCCGCCCTACACTACATATTCAGCCAAACCCGATATCCCTTCAAGGCACCTAGATCTAGTGCTACAAAGCTTCCAGTCGCTATAATTACAGGCAACGCAGCACCAGTGTTAGGGTTTTGAAGGCGATGTGGTTCGCAGCATCCCACCGGGGGTGAACGGCGTGGTAATGAGGTTTTAAGCAAGGAAGATTTTCTGGTGTATGAATAAAACATGAAATGATGGGGGTCTCGATGTACTAATGTTTGTAGATTTCGAAGTTCCTCCACTTTCATCTTTCTCAAGTAGCAAGTCTGTATAGTAAGTATCCTTAGTAATGATAATTCTCATTTATCCTAAACTTTTGCTAACGGTCTTAACATACGTTTTCCCATATAATTATCCCAAAAAAAGACATCACATTTAACCTCCCAATACCCTCAGCACCATACCACCTTACTTCCTCCTCACCGCAAACTCCTCTCCAGATAACCACAAAAAGATGAGAAAAGGGAAATGAAGAGAAGAATATAACCCCCCGGCCAGGAGTCGAACCCGGTTCCCGAGCATATTACCGTATTTGACAAGCTCATATACTAACCCCTCTACTACCGGGAATATGTTCGGTCATCTTTGCGATTTCCCTGGTCTGTTCGAGGGTTTGGAGAATTATTTTGCTTATAGAGAGAGGGGCATTGTGAGAGATGAGGGTGCGGGTGGGGGAATTCCAAGATTGGAAAGAGGTGAGAGGTGAGTCGAATGAGGAAAGGGGAGGGCGCAGCTTGAGGAGTGAGTAGTGATTCAACTCAGCATCGATGGGCCTTTGAGATCGCTGCCTAGGTAATGTTCTCTATTCCTCTGGTCTCGTTTCAAATATTATGAATTCCCTAATTAAAATTATTTTTTTGGGCTTCTTTTGGCTGACACGGTTGGTGATGCTTCACTCTTGAAAAGTTGGGAAAGGAGGGACGTCTAGCACTTCTCCTAGAGAACCTTTCATCCTATATGTGCGGCCAGATACGGCCTGCAACTCTTTGTCCACAGATCCTGTAGTCGCATTCCAACAGAAGCAAGAATTTCGAAGTAGTGTTTTGAAACAGACACTTCAAATATGACATTCTGCGTGCCTCTTTCCTGGGGATAGCTCCTAATACACCCTCACTAAGTATTTTTACTCTAACAAAGACACTTTATTATATTCCTGCATTTATCTCCAACCTCGTGTAACAATCAGGCACCCCTCCGTCTTCAGAGATCTTGTGGCGTGTTTAAGCCGTTGGCATATGGCAGTCTTCCAGCCTCGCATCCGGCGTTGGTTGAATGGCATAGTTTGTCGCCTGCTAAGTAAGATTTGACCCTTATGCTAACCCTCCCTTTGTGACAGAGCCGAGCAAGGTTCCTGTGTCCTAGAAGTGCAGGTCTACACATGTGAGTGGGAGGCGGAAAGCGGGTTGGCTGACTTAATTGCAGCAGGGGATGCATAGGGCAAGCGCGCTCATTCAAACTCACTAGATACGGATGAAGAATATAGTTCAGTATTATGATTCGTTTCATTTGTACGGCGAAAGGTCCGGAATGCCCGCATCAATACCAAGACCATAAAATATGTTTAGATTATCCTCAAGGTTCCAACACCATGTCCCGAAATGCCCATCAATGACCCATGCCATCCAAGGGTACCAAAAGAGGCCGCCTATCCTATCGTAAATAGCATTTACTTTTTGTGAAGATGCCGTGTACCCAATGTCGAGAACCTTATTCCATAATAAAAAGCGTAAAAATCGTCAACTTCCAGCCCATCATGATCATACCTTCGGAGTAGAAGCAGTGGAGCTTTTCCGCGGTTGTGTGGCTAGCCCCTTCTTCATGAGTAACGGGATGATATCTGTGTGTGTCTTTTCGCGCCTGAGGAATTTTCGACAGACGGGACATTGGGATCGTTTTGGCTCCGTGGGGCCGGAGCGGTTCTCGCCTGCTATTAGAGCCTCCATGAGACAGGTGTGGCAGAAGAGGTGGCCTAAGAACACATTCAATATATCAAAAAACCCCAATATCATGATATCGACTTACCACAGGCCGTCGCCGTCATGTCCGTCGGGCTATCCATGCAAATAACACAGTTGAAATTCGTAAGCGTCGTGGGCTTCTCATCCGGCCTTTGCTGCGCCTTGACCGCTTCTGCTCGCTGCTTCTGGAGAATGTCCTGCAATGGTTTGTCGTCTGAGAGGTCTATTTCTTCGATCTTGGTCTCAGGTGTTTGGGTTGCTCGGTCTGTCGACGTGCCGTCATTCCGCTTCTGCCGCTTATTAGAAGGGCCTGGTGTAGGTGTACGGCGCTTTCTGCTTCGCCTTTGGGGGAGGACATCTTCGGTTGGATCAGGCTCGCTTGTCAGGTCGACATAGCCGTTTGGGAGGCGTGAGGGGCGCAATGTTCGTTGGGAAACCGGGGGCATGATATATGTGGGTGGGTTTGGGGCAGAAGCAGCGGGTAAAACAGGAGAACGAGGTCTGCGCTGTGGGGAGGAAACGTGGTAGTAGCCAAAGGGCAGGTCTCCGTCGTTGACGTGGGGCTCGGGCGGGTTGAGGATGTTGTCGAGGAAGCTGGGCGGCGAGGGGGTGGAACGGTGAGCTATGGCTTCTTCGAAGTATGAGTCGTTCGCGGAATTATCAGGGGGTTCTGGGCTGGCAAAGGAGGTCTCGACGTTGTAGAAGGGAAAGTTCACTTGAAAGGTGATTGGTCTGTTTGCTGTGTGAGTGAACGACGGATGGTGGTGGTGGTAGAGAGAATCAGGATCAGACATTGTGGCAGCGGCGACCCATAAAAGAAGAGGTGATCAGACTTATGCTAGCTCACACAGTCAGGAGGCGTGAGGAAGAAGGGCTCGTACATGGTGACAGCGGCGTGCAGTTACCTTCCGAGACAGATCGTCTTCGGCACGGGTGCCACCCATGCAGCCCGAAATACTTTGTAAAATCCGTACCAGAAACGCCAAGAATTCGCGAAGAGGAAGAGGAGGACCCATGACGACAACCAACACCACCTGAACACTCTCCAGCTACAACGCTTCGATAATTTTTCAGCGACATGAAGTGACGCGACCGTCATTCCATACTAATATGCGCTGCAGCCATCGCGGAACCTTTGCCGCAAAGCTCGTAGCTCGACCGCGATGCTGCACTATAGCTCCACTCACCCCTATATGGAGTACTCCACAAAGATGTCTTGCCACAGTCCAGGCAGCGAAAGAGAATGGGAGCGATGCTAATCAGAAGAGTCTCTCAAGTATGCGCCATCATAATCGTCGTTTCCCTCGGTTCACTAACATTTTCCAGTTCCATCCGAAGCACGATTTAACGAGATAGGAGTGCAACAGCTCAGCAGCCATGTCCACGCGCAAGTGTTTCCTGGTGCAGGGACTCTTCCTCCTCCTGAACTTATCCAGCTCTCGAAAGACCACCTTACCCGGCATGATCTGCTTGGAAAAAACCAGGACTTTACCCCTCCTGTAAGCTTCGACCTCCCCCCCCTACAAGGTTCGACACTCGATGAACACTTCTACAAGCTGGGGATGGATGCTGCAGAGCCGTATTTGAGCATAGCGAAGAAGTTCGCCTGGGCGAATCCTCCACCGAAGCCGCGGAAATGGCTTAGGCAGAGTGGTTGGACAAAATACAACAGCGACGGAACGACGGAGGCTGTGGATGCGCCCAATGAATCTATGCTGACATTTGATACCGAAGTCATGTGGAAAGAGACGTCTTTTGCATGCATGGCTTGCGCTGTGGGGCCGACGGCATGGTATGCCTGGATATCACCTTGGCTCCTGGGCGAATCGAAATCCGACCGCCATCTGATCCCTCTAGGTGACCCCACACAGCCGAGGGTAATCGTAGGTCACAACATAGGATACGACCGAGCTCGGATAGCGGAGGAGTACGATATTCGACAATCGAAGAATTCATTCGTGGATACAATGTCGCTACACGTAGCGTCTAATGGGATGTGTTCGCGCCAACGGCCATCGTGGATGAAGCACCGGAAGAGTCGGGAACTTAGGGAAAAAATTGCGACTTCTGAAGAGAGCGCGGACCTGTCTGCTCTATTGGAATCAGGGGCGTTACCAGATGAAGAGGAGGAATTATGGATTGGCAGAAGTGCTATCAATTCGCTCCGTGACGTCGCAAAATTTCACTGCAATATCACGATCGACAAAGTTCGAAGAGAGCATTTTGGGGAACTGGACCGACCTGGTATTCGGAAGAAACTGGACGAACTCCTGGACTACTGTGCCGCCGATGTTGAGATCACTCACCGTGTCTACCAGAAAGTATTCCCTCTGTTCTTGGAAACATGCCCTCATCCTGTCAGTTTCGCTGCGTTGCGATTCTTGGCTGCCGAAATTCTTCCTGTGAACGAGACATGGGACGCATATATTGCGAATGCGGAAGCTACATATCATCGACTTGAGGTTGCGGTACGAGAACGTCTTGTAAATTTGGCAGAGAGGGTACTTGAAGTGAAGGACAAGCCTGAAGTGTATATGAATGATCCGTGGCTGAACCAGCTGGACTGGTCCGGCCAGGAGGTGAAAATGGTCAAGGGGAAAAAGAAGAACGATCCACCAAGACCTGCTGCTCGACAAAAGAAACCAGGGATGCCGAAATGGTATAAGGACCTGTTCGCGAATAACGATGCGCCGATGAATCTGACCGTCCGAACACGTATAGCACCGATTCTACTGAAACTGGCATGGGACGGGCATCCTCTGGTCTGGTCGGACAAGCATGGGTGGACATATCAAGTCCCCATGGATGAAGTATTCTTGTACAATGAAAAGGGTCTGAGAGAGTTAGATATGTCGGAGGAAGATCTTAAGCTGCGTGGCGATATGAAGCATCGATACTACAAGATCCCGCACAAGGACGGTCCGCTGGCACGTTGCGCGAATCCTCTAGCGAAAGGCTACCTCCAATATTTTGAAAAAGGGAAGCTGACATCGGAATACTCTTACGCCAAAGAGGCATTGGAGATGAATGCGTCTTGTTCATACTGGATAAGTGCAAGAGACCGGATCATGTCGCAAATGGTCATTTACAACAAGGATATACCAAATACACCAAAACTGACATCGGCTTCTGTTCCAGGGCGAGGCAAGAAAGTCGGGTTCATTTTACCACAGATCATCCCGATGGGTACGATCACCCGGCGAGCGGTTGAAAACACCTGGCTTACGGCCAGTAATGCGAAGGCAAACCGGGTTGGATCTGAACTCAAGTCAATGGTCCGTGCTCCAAAAGGTTACTGTTTCGTAGGAGCCGATGTGGACTCCCAGGAGCTTTGGATTGCCAGCTTGATAGGAGATGCGACTTTCAAGCTACATGGTGGGAATGCAGTTGGTTTCATGACTCTGGAAGGTACCAAGGCAGCAGGAACAGATCTGCATTCTCGAACCGCCAAGATCCTAGGGATTTCGAGAAATGATGCAAAAGTCTTTAATTATGGCCGTATCTACGGTGCAGGTCTGAAGTTTGCTGCAACCCTTCTTCGTCAGTTCAACCCCACTCTGACTGACTCCCAAACATCACAAACCGCAAATGCACTCTATCGGACGACAAAGG